TGCTCGTTTGAGTTGATCGGAAAATAGGTTGTAGGGAAGAGATAGAGTCTTTGTTAGGGGATTTGTGGTGATTTTCAGGTGGAGGTGGGTCTTCTTCTTTGATGAACTCTGACATTTTATTTGGATAGAAACGATCTGCCATTTTATGATTGTTTATCTTTTTGTCTGTTCTAGAGAGAGAGAGAGAGAGAGAGAGAGACCCATTTGATATTAAATTTAATTATTTTTTTCTTTTTTAAAAAATAAAATAAAAGAAAACCTCATAAAAGGTCCCTGGATAGTTAAATGACGGAAATATCCTTCATTTAACGGTAGAAAGCTAACGGAGTTAGCAAGAAGGACCAAACATCAAAAGTTTTGAAAACACAGGGACCATCTATGAGGTTTTTAAACCACGGGGACTAAACTTCAGATTTTGGGTAACCACATGGACTATTTATGATGTTTTTTCTATTATAGTAATAAACAAATAACCATTAAAAAAACTATAAGGGCAAAAAGGTCATTTAAGATCGGATAGGGACCAATGATGAAACAAAAACAAATTGTAGGAATTATCCGAGTTAAAAAAATAAGTTAGTGACCAAACACGTAAATTAGCCCAAACCATAAGGACCACTTCTGTAGTTTACTCTTTTTAATATTATGGTTATTGTATCAACACTTTACTATTTGATAATTTATATCATACCTCAAACGATAATTAATTACATCATATATTAATTATGTTTAAGTTTTTATGTAGTTGTTTTCTCTGGAACACATTATATTAAATTGCATTGCATCACATGGAATGATGAAGGAACGGAACGAGGAAGGAATGGAATTGATGGGGGTGACGAAATTGTCTTTTCTATTCCTTTTTATTTTTTTTTATTTGTATTTTTTCCTATACATTTTTCTAATACAATGTTTTAAATTTTGCTTATAATTTTTTTAAAACTTTTTCTTTTATATTTTCATATAATTTTAATCCAAGTGCTTTTAAACCAAATATTTTATAAATGGTTTAAATTTTTTTACAAGTT